CACATCAGCATCGGCGAGGATCTCGTCATCGAGTACCGGACCGTTGCCGTGCGGCTTGCCGTGCTGCAACCAGGACCTAAAAAAAAAAAAGTACCCAAAACACGGACGGACGGGCGTGCGCAACATGACCGGCGTCGGTTTTGAGGTTTGCGTACGACTCGCGGTGTGGGGATGGTCAGACTGGGGTGGGGGTGTTGGGTGTTAAACCAGACCGCAACGAGCAAAACAGCGGCAAAATCCGCATACAAACACGATTCAACAACACCGACACCAGAACCAACACCTACATCAGTGAAACCAGACCACAAGAGCGAACCAGCAGCAAAATCTACATACAAACACCGCAAACATAGATCATCCCACCAAACAACAACAGCAACAACAACAAGAGCACCAACACCAACACCGACAACAAACAAAAACGATCCGAACCTGTCCTGCGAAACGTCGGGAAGCTTGGTGATGAAGTCCAGGTTGAGGGCGGCGTTCGTCTTGGCGAGGGGCGCGTCGGTCCTGGCCGACAGCACGTCCGCCCTCCCTATCGCCTCGTCCAGAGACTTGAAGCCAAGCTCTGCCAACAAGAGCCTCACCTCCTCCGCAACGAACTAAACAGATCAAACGTTGACAAACAAACAACCAAGCAACCAAACGGGGAGAAGGGACGGTTAACAAGTTGAACGGAGGGTCAACAGGATGATGATGTCCGCAGCAAGACAAAGGAAGAGACGCGGGGGGAGCGGGGTGTGTGTGCTCATAACCGTGCGTGCCGTATTCGTCGTTAGACCTCGCAAGGCAGAGACGCGGGGGGGGGGGGGGGGTACTCATAGTCGTGCATGCCGTAGTCGTTAGACCATTGATCTCGCATCCCTACAAACCCGGGACGGAGCACGCCGGGTTCTCACCGGACCAGGCTCTCACATCACCAAGCGCGAAGCGCCGTGAGGTATTCGGCAAGTCGCATGAAGGGTGCGCTGCATCCTGCTAAAGGTGTTCGGCATCTTGTGCTTACTTCCTCGCGTACGGATGACAGCTGCGGATGACTTTATTCATTTTCTGGTGCTTTCACTTCCAGAGACAGTTATAAGCACTGTGTACAATAACTGCCTCGAGGATGCTTGACCAATTTAACACAACGTGGTGCGATCATCCCCCTTTGCGCGGAGTGAGGGTTCTCGACCCCGCACAACATGATCTACTCGACCACCATTCATGGTTACCGCAAATAAAATAAAAAAGGCAAGAAAAAAAAGCGGTAACCTGGTTGCCGAGCTCACGAAGTGATCGGCTTGTTTCACAACATTGCTGCCAAGCGACGAAAACCCAATCCCGATGGCAAACATCGTTGCGGTACGGGGGGGGAGCGGGGGGGGTAAACAAATGTTCGCATTCTAGGGCACCTCGAACACGGGATTAGGCGGCTCAAACGTATTCTCTCTCTGCTGTTCTTTCTATCCCCCAACGGACGTGTGTTACCCACAGTCAACACAGCCGCTACGTCGAACGTCGGTGTTCTAATTCTGCGGCGCCGCCGTGTCATGGGGGAGCCTCGCGTACGGCGCTTGGCCCTCTCGAGTCTCCTCGGGCGACGACATCACACTGTCATCAACAATCTGAAGATAGAAGTATCTATTAACTTGTATGAATACACTGCAAATACTCTACGACACTCGTATCTTATTGGGCAACGACATCACGCTATCACCAACAATCCGAAGATGTCATAGCATGAAGAATTGTATGCACCGCAAATACTCTTACGACATTCGTGTCTCATCGGGCGACGACATCACACTATCACCAACAATCTGGAGTTGTCATACCACCACTTATACGAAAAAATTGCAACCCTTTTCAATCGCATGCTAAAGAATACTCTCTGCAACATAGATACCTCGAAGAAGGTGACCACGTTCTGGGGGGTCCCGGGGAATTTCTTGCGGAGGTTCTCCTTCTGGGTGGTGACGCCGACGGGGCAGTTGTTCGTGTGGCAGATGCGCGCCATGATGCAGCCCTCCGCGATCATGGCGATCGTTCCGAACCTTGGATTCGATCGTATCCCGAAGAAAAAAAAAAGACGACAGAGAACCAAAAAGAGGGAGTTTTGTCAGCGGATTGCATCTGTCCGGGGAAGTGTCTTTGCGAAAGAGAGACGGAGAGGGCTTGAACGCTTGTGTCCGCGTAGGAATGTTAGTCGAAAGCGTCTCGACGAAAGGCGAGGGATTGAACACACCACACCACACCACGCCGAAACCCCGGAACGAAAAAGGTACCTATGCTGCACCTCCTGCTGTGATACTCCTGCTGTGATGACTCGTGCTGTGATGACGCGTGCAGCCCCGCTAACCTTAACCTTGTTGCTCTTCACTCTTCCTCTTGTTGCAGTGTTATCTGCCTACACTGAAAACCCGCCCTATCCTCTTCCCAGTTTCTCCCGAACGAAGGACGTACTGATACAGGTACACCTGAAGCCGGTGCAAGACCACCCTCTCTTCGCTCTCCTGCTGAACTTGCCACCAGACGCTTGTTCATCTCTATTTGCTGGCTGCACCCTGCTTTCCTGGCTGCTGTATCTCATATTTGCCTGTCTTAGCTTTTCACCTACTTTGAAGCTGCCCTGTCCGGGAGCGTTGCTCTTTGGCTCTCTCTACATAGAGGTGAGGGAAAGGTTCGTGAGGTTCCGTTTTCTCGACTCTAGATTTGACCCCTCGGATGGATTGCTACCCCCTCTGCGTATTCAAGCCGACGCGTACACGTCCTCTCAGGGTTGGCTAGCGTCGTCGTAGTTAGACCCTCGGACAAAGATACCATCTGGGCGGGCGGGCGGGTATATCTTGCATAAATACACCGACCACCTGCCTAGACTCCTCTGAAATAATGCAAGCAGCCGAACAATGGTTGCTATTTAGCAGCAGCAAGCAGTGTACGCGCGTTCCCTCTTGGTCAGCGTGGTCTACCGAGTGAGCGATAGCGAGCGACCGAGAAAGGAAAGGTGAAGTAAAAAGGAAATTGGACTGAAACGGAGCAGCTAACCTGCACACAGTGGCCGGGTCCGATCGGCACTGCCTAGGCTCATCACACATGACACACTTGGCGTCGTCCGCACGCTTGCGTTGTCCTGCAGAAGACGCCAAGTGTTACCAGATTGAGCCAAGGGTGGATCGGATCCGACCGCTGTTTGTGTGCGGAATAGCGGCTCCGTTTAGGTCCAATTTCCTTCTTACTTCATCTTTCCTTCTTTTCCGTCGCTCGCCATCGCGCTATCGCTCACTCCTAGGTAATAGGGAAGGCGCGTACACTGCCTGTTGCTGCTGCTGGCAACCATTGTTCCACTGCTTGCATGAGCTCGGAATACAAACGAGTCTTACACAGGTGGTTGGTGGATGTCTGCAAGATACCCCCGCCCAGATGGTATCTTAGCCCAAGGGTTTAAACACCCTGACAAAGGCACAAAAAAAAAAAAAAGACCACCACCAGACAGAGCGGAACTAGCTTCGGCACGCGTGCTGCTCGCTCAAAACGCCCCCAACAACAGCAGGTGTGCTTCCTCATGCCATGACCTTTCTGCCTCTTGCTCTTGTACTACTGCTTGCTGTGCTTGTTCACGCCATGTCCCTCTGCATGGCGTGCACTGCTGATTTACGGTATTTTTGTCTCAAAACAACACCAGTGCGCTTGTTCATTCCATGTACCGACTGCTCGGGGCACTCTGCTTGTTGGGCTTCTTTCTCACCCGAATTCCTCCGCCCCCATGAGAGCCGCGATCACCACGTCCCAGCCGGTCTTGATGCCGCCGTCCGTGCGGAGCAGTACCCTGTCCCGCAGCTTGTTGTCCAGCAGAGTGCGATGCACCTCGGCCAAACCCTGCCGTTCCGGCAACAAGGAAGGGAGCACAATTGTTGTGTTGTTGCCACATACAGGTTGTGTACCAGCTGTGACAAAAACAGGATTGGGTGTTTTTGTTGGTCAGACAAACAGAGAAGAGACAGGTTGTTGTCCAGCAGAATACGGTGCACCTCGGCAAGACCCTGTTGTTCCGGCACGAAATGTGGTAGGTGCAAGACGAACTGATAATGTCGTACCGTAGATTACAAAAAAAAAACAAAAAAAACAAAAAAAAACAGACAGAAAGAAAGATATCGATAATAGAAAAAACGCAACAGAATAAAAAAATAGATCAGCTGGTGGTACATACTAAAGCTCTGCGAGGTACACAACACGTACGCACCAGCTCCCACGGCGAACCAGCGTGCTTGATCGAGGACAGAGGAGACGCCCCCGTGCCGCCGTCGTGCCCGGACACCTGGATCACGTCGGCGTTGGCCTTGGCGACTCCCGCAGCCACCGTCCCGATTCCCACCTCGGACACCTGCGGGGGGACCGAACCGGTCGGGTGTTGTTGCACGCACACTCATGGTTGGGATCTACTTCTAGTGGGATGATTTCCAAGACAAGGGCAAGGAAGGGAAGCGTAGACAAGACACAGCAGCACATACCTTCTCATGGCCTGAGAGTGCCTGCCTGTTTCGTAGAAAAACAACACTCCCGAGAAATAGTCAAAAACCAAGTAGGATTGTTGCATGCACATTATTGTGGAGACAGAAAAAAAACAAAATGCCAGCCGGCCGGAGCTTGGCCTTTCGTCTACCCGCCGTCTACACGTGTGCCCCTGTGCGTGCCCCCCCCCCCCC